CGGTGGAAAAGCGGCTACTGTGACTTTTGATATTAGCCTCCATTTGTTCAGGGACACATTATTCCATTTCTGTTCATCAATAGGGGCCAGTCATGGATTTTTAACCCAAAGGTCACAGATTCGATTCTTGGTACCAGCAGGAATTGTAGGTGGGAGGAGTGAATGTACAGCACTCTCTTCCACCTTCAATACCTACAACTGAGGTACCCTTGAGCAAGGTACCGAACACCCAATTGCTCCCCGGGCACCAGCTGCTCACAACTCTGGGTGTGTGTTCAGTGTGTGTGTCTGTGCACCTGGATGGGCTAAATGCAGAGCACAATTTCAGAGTATGGGTCACCATACTTGGCCACTTTTCATGTCAATTTAAATGTCTGTGAACTTGTTCAGTTTATGACTCAGTTAAATCTTTTGATGTTCATACAAATATTTACGTTAACAAATTTAAACATTAAAAGTTGAATGTGAGATGATGTTTCTTTCTTGTCTGACTTAAGACACAAACTGACCCCCAAAAGAAGTTACAATATCACTTACAAGGTTCCAATATACTATTGTTAGTAGTTAATGTGGACTTTTTGCCATGGTTAAAGATCATTGAATACTATGTATCATTATTCTGAAATTCTTGTCCCACATGTCTGATTTTATTCATACTCTTTATTCTGTAGGTAAATGGAAGAAGCATGTCTGTTGCCACCCATGATCAAGCAGTAGAGGCTTTCCAAACTGCCAAAGACCCTATTGAGGTTCAGGTACTGCGCAGGACAGCACACAAGACTTGCAAGACTCTTAAACCAGCCCGAGGAATGGACAACAGTACTCAGACCAACATTACGCTGAAAACCTCGAAACATATACAGACTTTGGCCAAGTTAACATCACCTTCAACACCATGTATGGCTTTGCTGGACAGTTTCCGTTCGCCTTCACAGTAAGCGCTTATCAGTGTTTCTTTCACCAACTGTATCAAAACAAAGAATCTTAATAGAAATTTTCATTTTAAAATGAGATATTCTGTCAACACGGCTTCAGTTAATGCTAATTTTTCATTGTATTGAAGGTATCAAATGGCAAGACGTGACTCACCTTACCCCGCAGACTTCCATGACGATGTACAGAAAGACATTGAGAGTAGAGGACTGGAATATGTGGTATTGCGTTTGCATAGACTGTATTCACTCACTCTCCTGAGTAATGCACGTTTAAATCATGTTTAATCTGTGTGTCTTCTGAGGTCATTTTAATTTTGATTTCATATACCCGCTAATATTTTGCCAAGACCACTTTAATTACACATGGATTTACCATGCAAATGAATCATCATCTACATAAGTGCAGCAAGCACTACAAATTCTCAGACTGGCTTTGGCTTATGTCTTATGTTAACAATGACTAAAATGCTAAATCTTTGTCATCAAAATCAATTTCCTGTGTTTTAATAGGAGGTGGATCTGCAGAGGAAAACCACTCAGGATAAGCTTGGCCTGAAGTTATGTTACAAGACGGATGATGAGAAGTCTGCCATTTATATTAGCGAGGTAGGGTTCTGCAGTGGGAATTTCTCAGGACAGTAATTGTTAACGAGTTTTTACAACAATTACATTTTTGGTTTAGTACTTGCTTAGTGTAGCTTTAGGTATTCGAGTCTATTCACAGTTAAGGCGAAATGCATTGTTCTTACCCTACTTAAGATTGCACCAGAAGGAATTGCAGCAAAAGATGGCAGAGTCCAGGAAGGAGACCGGATTATCCAGGTAGAATTTATTCTATTGGGTTTGTTTTGAATATATTGGCTCAAACAAAACAAAGCTTTTTTTATTTATTCTTCACGTGCTGAAGATCAATGGAATGGACATCCAGAGCCATGAGGAGGCAGTGACACTTCTGACCAAGGTGGAGAGTACGAATGTAACCCTCCTAGTGGCTCGACCAGAAAGTCAGGTCAGCTAACTGTTCTGTGCACTTGCAGATAAAGATTTTGGTCAATTACATTTGATTTATCTCAGGAGTTTCCAATCCTGCTCCTGTAGGACCACTTTTCTGCAAACCCAATTTAAACACCTCAACTAACTGGACCAAAATTGTGCATGAAGTGGCCCTTCTGTAGCAGTTTTGGACATCTATGTTTGAAGTAAAAGAATGACATTGCATTTCGGTATGGGTTGCAGGATGTTGGCTGGTTGGAGGATAGAAACAACTTAGATGACTTGCACATGGGCACACTGGAGCAGCAACATCACAAGGTCAAGGAGTTCACTACAAGTATGCTGCAGCAGGTAAGTTAATAAGGGTCAAGTCAACAGTGAATTGCTCGCTTCATCCAATTACAGGAGCTATTCTTACTATTAAAGTGATTTACAAGCTATTAAAAGTTCTTCCCACTCTATTTAACAGAGCACAAATGAAGAAGATGGAGGCACTACAGATACGGCTACTTTACTATCCAACCAGCATGAGAAAGACAGCGGCGTAGGCCGCACAGATGAAAGCACTCGTAATGATGAAAGCTCAGAGCAGGACATCTTGGGGGATGACCAGAATTCCCTCTGTGACACTCTCCCAGAAAACCACAAGAAGTACAACTATAATCAGGACACTGTCGAAAGTGGGGACATGCACTTAAGCAATGACTCCTTCCTTTCGGCTGACAATGGAGATAGTGGAAACTTCCTTGGTATACCTGGCACGGCATGTGAACGTTTCCGGAAACTGCTTGAATTGAAATCTCTGGTGACTGGTAACAGTCTTCAGGGATTTCTGGAGCATAATGCCACACTGTATGAAAAGGGGGTTAATGTAGACTGTGATGATCAGGAGATTCAGATGCTTAATGAGGAGTTGCATAACATTGAGCTGGAATGCCTGAGTACCATACAAGCACATAGGCTTCAGGCTGAAGGTGGTAATCAGCAAGCCAAAAAACCTAGTGCCAAGCACTTTTTTGAGCAAGTCCATCAGGACCTCATCAATAACCAAGTGGACAACGAAGGCTCTACTAGTGCTTACAACACTGGAGAGAGCTGCTGGAGTTTACATCCTACTCTGGAAGCAGATTCTCTTGAATCCCAAAGGATGGTTGCTGGAGACAAGGGTAAAGGTTCTCCCATGCATAGACGCAACTCAACAACAGCATGCTCCAAACATAACCTCTCTCCCATTCAGGAGATCAGCCCTACCAAGAGTTTGCCTGGAGATCCAGAGGTTACAAATCAGGGGAAAAGAAAGAGTAAGAAAAAGAACCCAAGGAAGAGTCTTTTGACATCCTTGCGTCATTCCTCATACAAGAACACCTACATCCCAGCCCATGCACAACATTACCAAAGCTACATGCAACTTATCCAGCAGAAGTCAGCTGTGGAATATGCCCAGAGTCAAGTCAGCTTAGCCAGCCTGTGCAAGAATGCAGAAACCACCCCCACGCAGTCCAGGCCCAAGACGGGGTGGAAGGTAAAGATCCGTAGCGATGGAACAAGGTACATCACCAAAAGGCCTATCAGGGACCAGCTTCTGAAGGAGCGAGCTTTGCGCATTCGAGAAGAACGCTGCAGCGCAACTACAGATGACGATGCAGCAAGCGAACTAAAACTGGGTCGATACTGGAACAAGGAGGAGCGCAAACAGCATGCGGCACGAGCTAAAGAACAGCGTCAACGGCGGGAACTCTTGAAGCAGTGCTGCATAGAGAGCAAAGAACAAGCCGGAGCACTGGATGACAAGAAGGAGCCTGATATTATCCAGCTTAGCCGTAAAAAGATGATGAAGAGGAGGAACAAGAGGATATTTGACAATTGGATGACCATTCAGGAGCTGCTGACACATGGCACAATGTCCACAGATAGCACAAGACTATATAATTCCTTTCTTTCTGTGACTACAGTATAAGGGATTGCGTGGTTTAGGGCACTTTACTAGTTTACGGTGTAAAATTATGTGAGGGTTGGTGTGGGAAATCTTGCCTCATTTCAAGAGGTGCGTCATTTAGGGACTTAAGTATGAAAGAGATTTGTGAGACACAGTAGTTTGAGTACATAACCGTGATGATGAATTCAAGTAAACCACAGATTTCCTATCTTAATACTTTATAGAACTTGAGGGTGCACTAACATTGCAGTTTGTACTGAAATATTTTATTGAACGACTCCTCATAATTTAATGTAAGAACAGATGCGAATCTATTTTATGTGAAATTCTAGCTCTTACTTGCAGTTACTGCCCATTACTTGCATATCACCCACTTAATAAATGTGATGGCTACCAATATTAGGTTTCACTTAAACATTGCGGTGAAAATGAATTGTGTCTATGACCTGATATTCCAAAGAGTTTTATTCAGATATGTTAGAAATGTCTCCGGTTGCCACAGATTAAGCATATCACTGCTTTTAATGTGAACATTTATTGCTCTTCAGAAATACTGTTGAAAGCCCAAGCATTCAGTTCACATGATGGAGACCATACAATTTTCACTTTTCACAAAAGCAGTGAACACTTATAATCTACAAAATCTAATAAAAAAATTCTACATATCAAAAAGGAGCTGCGGAAATAGGTATGGGTAGAACAGCCTGTATACATGTCTGTAGGAAGCATGAAAAGTACAGTTTAAGAGATGTTGGTGTTGACAGTGTTGCTCATTTTAACCTTTTTACAACTGTTTGCCATTGTTTGATGAAACAAAATGAAAATCTTATAACAAATAAGGATGGCTCAATAGTGGTTAAGCATAATATGTCAGTCGAAAAGACAGGCTCACTATATTAAGTTACACATTGCAACCAACAGCACTCGAGCATCTAGTGCATGGAAAATCACATTAGTCCATTTTAGAATCTATTTACCAGCATCAGTGGATTAATACATGTCGGTGCTATGCTGGGAAGGCAGTTAAAATAAAAGGACCTAAAAATAAAAGAAAAATAGCAAAGAAAGGAAATCGGTCTAATGCTGCTATTGAGCACTTTGTGCTACAAGCCAGCAGATGAATGCAGAAGGCAATATAAGGGGAAAGGGGTGTTCTCCTGGAATGTTTAGACACTGGTCTGCCGGCCAACGGGAACCCTGAGATCATCCGTTGACTAAACTAAAGGAAGTGCACACACACCCCTCACCCCTACAAACATATGCACACATTCACACAAACCAAAGATTTGCCACGTTTTCACTCTTAGTAGAGCAGGAGAGAGATGAAAGGTGTTTTACCCGACAGCTTTAGAATGTGTTGATGTGGAGTTGATGGATGCCCATGATTAGAACAGGATTACAGAAAACCGCCATGGACACAAGGCATTCGAGTTACTCAATGGCGAACGCTCCGCTCAACCACCAGAAAGATGAGCTTCCAGTTTTTTTAGTTGTTCTTCAGAGAAGAGCCCATATTAAGAGAAGATGCCCGAATAAGTGTCATAAGGAGTAGATGTGTCACAAGAGGTCATCAGAATGCCATCCTCTCCTGGTCTATAAAGGATCTGCTAAACTCGCAGGATAAGTGATTTTTGGGGTTTTGTACAGTAGAGTGTAAAAATCAATAATGTACGGCCAAACTTCAGTCTTGCTCCATGGTGTCATCTGCAGTCTCTGAGCTGTCTGAACTGATTTCTGCAGTGGTACTGCCCTCTGCCGTCAGCTCTGTGGAACTGCTGGAACATGCAGATGGAGTCTCTGCACTGGACACTCCCTCGTCACTGCTGTTATTGCTGCTGCAGCTGCTACTGCTGACTGGGTCATTTCTCTCGTCCGTTTCCTGAGCCTTGGCGCTCTCTTCCCTCTCCGACCACTGTTCTGGTAGATCTGATTCGCTGCCGGTCGCCTGATTGTGGGAAGGGTCGGGTGAATCGTCTGAAGTGGATTTGTCAACCCTGTTTTCTACGACCTCTGACTGTGTACTCGAGGGTTCTGCAGAGAGAGGAGCAGAAAACGTAAATGTATGCAAACAGCTGCTGATATGCAAAAATATAAAAATATAAGCACAGCAGTTACTCACATGACCAAACGGGTTGAAATAAAACAAGAACAAATAATATTAATGGCTCATTTTACACTGATTGAACCCAAACCCTATGGTCTATTATGATTTTCAGTCACCCACATTCCTTGTACATCGAGGAATGTACAATATATTAAAAACAAATAATAATAATAATAAATACACCAAGTTAAAAGTTTGGACACACTTGACTAAATGAGACGTCTTTATAAAACCGAAGTTCAACAGAAATAATAAACGATAATAAAAAAAGTGTAAACTATTAACAACCCAGTTGTTAGTTCTTCTGACCATTAGCATTTATTACAAGCATCTCTTTATTTGTTAAAAACAAATAAAGTTGGCTTCATCAGCAATCAGATAGTGGAGACTTCCCTGCTTTTAGACCTCCAAAGTAAACAAAGACTAGACATAAAAAAGCTTTAAAAGCCTGCGATTACTCAGATATAGCCTAGGCCTGTCGCAATAATTAATATATCGACTTAGCGCGCAATATATGTACATGACCTCAATAATTTTTTGTGACGCAATATATCGCCCATCATATTTACTTAAAAATTAATGCTACTATGTTTTGTACATTCCACTTGCGCCTGTGTCTTTTGCAGCTTCTCGTAC